GAGTTACTGCACAATCGGATGTAAACGCGAGGGCTGTCAACGAGATGCAGACCGGAAATACTTTGAGGGACTTTTTTATGCTGCGTCTCTGTTATCGCCGTTTCAAATCCAATGCGGATCGAGTCCCCATCCACTTGTTTATTTCTATTTCACTGCTAGTCGTGTTCGGCCCGGGAACGGTGCCGCAGCACGGGGTGTCTCACAGGGGAAGGTGACCATCACCACCATCTGATTTAAAAAATCTTTCTAGTGCTGTTCTATTGCTGGTATTTGGTATTCCGGTGATCCAGTATGTCACTCATACTCATAGCCCTAGCACTTGTGAGCCAGGCAGGTATCCACGGCAAAGCCTTCAACTCTGTGCTAGTAAGTTATGTAATACAACTTTTTTTGATGCCAATTTAAAAGTTTGTCAAACCAATGGCCTAAAGGCGAGCAGGTTTCACGTCTCTCTTTTCGAATAGGGACCATATATTTCCTACGGCGAACGCTTTTACATGTGTGAAGAACCCAACAATCGCCCGCTTGCCTGGACGTGGTATTTGCGTGCTACTCACTTCAATCCACTTAAACCAAACGAGTTGCAACGCCTGACGGGTAATCTGACAATTGCAGATGTGCCTTTTGACAACAGCCTCTGGGTAAGATATTGGAAATAGTAGAAGCGTATAAAATAACACACACAATGGTCACACACTTTTGTGTGTAAAATTGTGGCACACACTTCTAAGTACTTGGGGGCCGCATATTTACAGAGCAGACGTTGGAAAAGTGCAAAAATGCGAGAATCTATTACAAACGGAATAATCTTTCTTAACAGGCTAAAGTAATTGCGGATGTTCGGTCAAATAATCAGTGGAAGGAAAACGCCTTTATCTTCCGTTTTAAAGGGGCATATCGGTCTCTTAAACAAAATATTCCTGGATTTTACGAGCGGGTTCTCAAGAGGGGGGAAGATATAGACGCAAGATTATTTAAAACTGTAAGTAATTATTTTTCTGGTACGTTTTGATAGTGATAAATGTTGCGGCGCTTCAAACCCGAATGAATTATAAATGTGAAGGCTGCACTGTTAAAAAAAATTGTAAATTTATCACACGGAGGAGGTACACGTACTTGATAATGTTTTATAATGGAGAAGACAGTTTGAGAAAGACTATAAAGTCTTACGGACCCAAAATGGACGCAAGTGCTTCTCAAATATTGTGAAACATTCAAACTTTTAAACGTTGAGTAACAAAAAACTTAAAAGTAAGAAGAAAGTACGCACGGCACGGCTTTTCTGGAAAACCCATCGACACAATGGCATTAAATCAATTCCACTCTAGGTAGCCCAGGTAATCTGTTCAAAATAAAACGTGCAAGAACACAAAACTGCTTCTCAACAAAAGACCCGCTTTTGCGATGAATGAAGGAAGAGGAAGGTGAGTTTCGGGGATAAGGAAGGAGGTCAATCGAATGTCACTCAACTGTTGCCACCGGTCAGATTCTAATGAGAGATCTCGTTATTTCGGTCGGGTTGGGTCTCTGGGGCCAACCTGGACCTGGGGAGGGAGACAATAAGAGCAAAAGACTCAAGTTTTACAGGCATATGCTCCTCAACGAGAGGTCACGTTCTTAAACCGATATGTCACCCTCGTTCGTTTTAGGAATCATTTGACCGTTGCTATGGTGGATTCGTCCGGGTCAAGCGGTTCTCCACCTCATTTCAAAACTGTCTCATGTTGGACGAAAAGAGAGTGCCTCGAAAGCAAATTCTGACTTGCAAGCAAAACAAGTGCTCGCGCATGGTATAACGCACACTGAGAAAGCCTCGCGAAGAATTTCGCTGCCTCACTATAAATAACCAAAAATAATTTTGTTTGAAATTTTGAACGTAAATTGTTGAGTAATCAGGGAATGCCATAACACTTCTAAGGGATCATTCTGAAAGTATTTATTCATTCCCCGTTGCGAACCTGTCAAGTTGAACCCTTGCAAGCTCTCAAAACGCCTGGTGGATAGGCAACATCTTGTCTGCAGGGCATGCATGTACTGCGGGGTCACCTACCCCGATCCTCACAGGCGCCAAGCTCCCGTCATTTGCCGAATGAATCCGAGTAAAACGGACGTACTTTCTTGACGATCCATAACAAATGGCTGTCAAAATTTCAATTATAATGTGGGATAAATTGTGCGAGGTTTGGTTTGGGGCGTTTGGTACAACTGTCGTCTGTTTGACATTACCGTAACTCGGACTTTCACTGCGTACGCCAGCGCCTAGGCCTAGGCCTACTCTACTCGCAGTGGATGCCGTGTCATAGGCCCTGCAGCTGCATTCTTGCACGGGGCCGCGGGGCCGGGGAGCTTCGCGTCGCTTCGTGTAGGACCAGAGGCCAGAGCCGAAGGGAAGACCAACAGAACCGGGTCTCGAATAGGGCCATGGGCCGATGTGGGCCTCGGGTTCCGTTAGTGCGGGCCGGGGCGGGGCTGGAAGCGCACCGGCGGCAGGACCTATGATGTGTAAGTAAAGGCTCGCGGGGCAGCTCCTGCCCGTGCCTGCGACGTGTTGCAGTAGGAGGGATGGGCAACGAGGAAGGACTGCTGCACTGGAAAAACGAAGGTGCGATATCCTACCTTTCCACACTCAGAAAACCGATTGTTCAACTCAACTAAATTTAGTGTTGAGGAAACCAACGAAATGTTGTTTCCGTCGACCAAATTTCAATCGTGTTGATTGGATAATTTAGTCAGGTCGATATAAAGTAATCAGTTTGACAATATTTTTGGTTGGGCTGGTCACATTTAATTGTAAAAGCTTGATTAAACGTTTCGTTGGATTTAGGGAGTAAATTTTGTTTCCTTCAACACAAATTTAGTCATACGGACTAATAGCTTCTCTCGGTGCAGGGAGTGCTAAACCCGCTAAAGTGTGTATTTTATATTTTCCCAAATATTTTCTGTATGAGCAAACCAATCACATTTTGGGATACATTGTCGCATTCCTCGCAAAATTCTGCGTCAAACACGTCTACATGTCATAGGGCTCTGATCAGCAGTCAGCAAATGAAAAGCAAGTCAAAAAGTACAAAAAAAAAATATATATATTTATGCCATTTTTGAACAGAACCCCATCGCATGTAGGCTCGTTCGACGCGGAATTTTGCGTATTACGAAAATAGGTCTTAGAATCCAATTTTAGTCCACAGGAACGAAATATTTCGAAAAAAATTAAACTGTAATGTCTTTGGAGCTTTAGTGGCTTTTAAAAGTAGGATATCCTACCTTTGTTTTACCAGTGTGCATAGGCAAAAAAACTCCTCGCCCAGTGAACAACACAAACTGCATGATGTCAATGCCGATCTATTTATAAAAGAGATCACATTTTAACCTTTCCCCCTCCCGCTTCCTCCCCTCCTCTTCACACCTCTGAACATTTCGAGTTTTTTCATCAAAATAAGAAAGTATTCCAATAAAATGAAATTTCCTAATTTCGTTCTGAAACCAGCTCGTTTTAAGGGAATTCAACACAAATTTTTGATGTGTACCTATTGATCGTACGAAATTTTGTTCTACTCGCTTACAGCAGACAAATCATAAACACTTACAATGTCCTGATCCTTGAAAGCCGCTGTCTCCATTTAGGCTGGACAGGTTTACGACGCCAGCGCGCGGAGTGCGGTAGGCGTCATCGTGTCATTTTAAATCATTTTCGTTCTCTAAATGAAATCGGAAGTGAAGTGTGAGTCCCTGACCCAGCAGACGCAGGGCGTGGCGGGGCGCGGCGGCGGCACCCCGGCCCGAACTCACCTAGGTCAACACGGGGACCACTTCCGGTGCCGGGGGAACAGGCCACAGGCGGGCGGGGCGTGTGGCGGCATGTGGTCCACGCTGATGCCGTTTTCGTTTTAATTGCCAGTAAAGTTCTGCTGCTTCTATGCTCCGGACCATCAGGGACCCCCGTATTTTAATCTCATATCAAGACGCGATATTTACGTCCTCTACTTTTGTCGGTTTACCGGACGTGCTAAATGCCGGGTGCTAGGGCCGTTGAAGGGCCGCCCGGGTCGGGCTGGCGGCGCGGGCGCACTCAGGAGTCACCCAATAACCTTTCGGCTGGAGGCTAACGGCTGACGGAGCTGGGATCTCTGTCCTACTCTGAAAATCCGACAGTGGGTCTGTCCCACTGCTGCAACAGTGCAACTCGACTGCTGAACGTTTCCTAACATTGTAGTCGAATCACACGTGCAAGTATATACAAGTATATAGTTGCACACTTGCTAGTATTTTGGACACTTGGTTTATCATCAGTGTGTCTTGTGTAACTGTGAATACGCAGCCAGTGTTGCGGGATTGCATACTCAATATGGCCGCAGGTGCCATGGCCCCTTCCCGGTGTAAAGCGGTGTAAAGAGTAGGCAACCGCGCAACACCAACACTACACCCGGTATGTGATCAACTACAACTCAGACACTTACAAGTAATTAACACAGATTTCATAAGACGTCAAATTCGAAAACTTTGTCGGTTTGAAAGTCGAAATCGGACTGATATTGAGTCGACTTTGCCTCGATCGATGACAATCGGCCATTTATCGAAATTGCATCTCTCACTGGGGGGGGGGGGGTTAAACACTTTGTAAAGGGTGGTCCACAGACCCCTTCCTTTAGATTGCTTATACTGTACCGGATGCAGGCGTGCAGCCGGGTTGCTTGCTCAGACGGGGCCATAAGGCGCTACGTCGAGCTACGCCCGCCTGCATGCGGTACAGTATAAGCAAAATTAAGAAAGGGGTCTGTGGACCACACTTATGTAAATGTTCGAAACTCCTCTGTTGAACACTTACTTACGCACGGTGGGAGGGTGGGAGGTGTGCAACAGTGGGGTTGAATACGAACACTTCTTCTTCATCAGAACTATCGAGCACTCTCATTTCCTTATGGACACGCTTACGGAGAATTTTGTGCTAACATATTATGGATCACAAATTATCCATAATATGGATAAAATTGTCCGTATTACAGACAATTTGATCCATATTACAGACATGCCTTCATCCGTAGGGTATGGACGAAAGGTCTATACCTTACGGAGGAGGGCATGTCTGTAATATGGATCAAATTGTCTGTAATACGGACAATTTTAACTATATTATGGATAATTTGTGATCCATAATATGTTAGCACAAAATTCTCCATAACATACGGATAGCACATCCATAGGGAAATGAGAGTGAACGTTGGACAGTGCCCAACAGCTGTCATTGACCACTTTCAAGTATACAATTGGCAGTTGAACAACTTCTACAAAGTGTTCAGTGGTTCAAGACTTGGTTTATCAGTGCACACCGCACACTTGAGGGTGCGATATTCGCAAATTTGCGAAGGCGACGTCGCTTATATTGGCAGTGCATGGGCGGAGCTATCGCCAGCGCAGTTGATGCTCGCCCTGCTCTACTTCGCTCGCCGTCCATCAGCGGCAGCCCCGTGCAAGTGTCCGCGGGCCGCGGAGCTTCCAGCGCAATTACCGCAGTACTCGGTACAGAGGAAGCACAAGTAGTGGAAGTACCTCCGGCCGGGGAGAACCCAAATTGGCCCAGCCCGTAATGAGCGAGGGCTGGGCCCGGAGAGCCTTTTTTACAGCCCGATGACACTTCGCCCGTGACACGCGAATCATCCAGTAGAGTATAGCGTCGGGGGGGCTGGGAGCGTGCCAAAGAGAGACAGACGGACGCGTGTGTGTGGGAGTGCGAAAGGGAAAGACCGCGGAGATCCCCACCGCCACCGGGCACGGCCAAGCGCTCTCTCTCTCTCTCTCTGTCTCTCTCTCTCTGTCTCTCTCTCTCTCTCTCTCTCTCTCTCTCTCTGTCTCTGTCTCTGTCTGTCTCTCTCTCTCTCTCTCTCTCACTCCCACAGTTTGCTGTTCGCGACTGCGAGTAATGACCGCGACCATGCAAGGGGCGGTCGCGGTTGAAGCGCGAAGCGCGTCCTCCCGCCCGCAGGAGTCAATCATTCTCTCGCAGCTTCTTTATAAATACGTCGTGTCCATATTT